CCCCCACCTCCCGCGCCCCCCCCCCCCCCCCCCCCCGACTCTCTGGGCTGCCTGGAAAACTTCCTGCCGCCGCCACCACTCCAGCCGTGGCCTGGCTGGGGAAGTTATTTTGACCCCTCGTGCCTGGTAGAGAATCCTGAGACGAGAGAAAAGGAGGTGGGGGCTTGAAGTGCAGGCGGCCACGGTGAGCTGGGCTGGTGTGCGGGAGATTCTCTGCCTCGCTGTGCTGTGGTCCCTGCTGCAGGAGGAGAAGCACCAGCAGCCCTGTATGCCTCATTGGCCTCTCCCTGCACAGGGCGGCGTTGGTAGCGGCATCAGGAACGGCTTTGGCTCCTGGGCCCCATCCACGACTGGGCCTTCAGCTCCCTTTTTCTCCCACCCCTCCTCCTCCTCCTCTTGCCGCCGCTTCTCTTACCTTCTCAGTGAGGCGGCCTCAGGAAATAGAGGGGGTGCTGAGGGAGTGAGCGTGGCCTGAGCTGCCTTGTGGGGTGCGGGGGGAGGAAGAGGCAGCTGGCGGAGGAGGTGGCTGGCAGAGGAAATGGTGGCGGCAGCGGCGGGTGCTGTTAAGGAGGCATTCCCCTTCTCCTGCCAAGCCAGGGGTGGAGTGAGCAGAGGAGGCCAGAAGGGAGCAGAGATTACCTTTCTTCCCAACTCGGACCCTGTAAAAGGGATAGCGACAGGTGGCTGCCTGGGGGCTCTCCAAAGTAGGCAGAAAAATTTGAAACCTTAAAAAAAATACACGTGTGGGGGGTTAATTCCCACCTTGAGTATGATGGTTGGTGGCTGCAGTGGATCCCAGTAACTGTGCCAGGCCCAGGCAGAGCCCAAGAACCACAACAGCTGCCTCAGAGCCCAGGAGCTGCAGCAGGCCCAACTGCAGTGAAGAAGAAGCTAGGGAGCTGTGGCAGGCCACTTGCACAGGGGAGGGGGAGTCCCATCAACCTCCCCCCCAGTTTCTCAATGGGCCCTCCACAGCTCCTGGTTTTTTTTGCAGCTGCCACCAGGCCCACCATGGCTCCCAGTCTGCTTGGCTGCTGGTGGGCCCGCTGTGCCAGGTGTTGG